TTCTAATCGATTTTTTCGATTAAAAATCGATAACACTAATACTATTTTGATCCAATTTTAGTTCAATTATTTAATGTATAATACCTTTTGGTGGAGTAAAACTGATTTTTAAAAAACAATTTTTAATTGATTAAACTTTATCTACAGCTTAAAATTGACCAGAACTCTAGTCAAATTTGTTTTCGTCTGTATATCTCAAGGAGTATCTATATCATATAACTTTCGTGCTCCAGAAGAATAAGAAGTTTCTGACTATGAAAAAAAAGTTTTACTAAGAAAACCAAATCAAAAGTTGTCTTGCAATCTGAAGACCCAACTTGAATCGGCTTAATTGAAAATAGTCGATTTTAACTTAAAAACTTCTCCCCATGAATAGAAAGACATCTTATATTAAAATGCCATCAACAAGAGAAATTTCACAGGGCGCAATAGCAGCCTATGGGTTTTCCTGATTGTTTTATGGTAATTCTGCAAATTTGCAAGGTTGTAGCATATAAAAACCTAGGTGTTGAATAAACAACAATTTTTTGTAATTTAAAGCAGGTTTTTCTGGCAAAAGTGTTTTCCAAGTAATATTTCTGATATTTTGACACATGATCAATAAAAGCTCCTCTGTAAATATCAAGAAAATTCTTCAAAAACCGTCAGTTTTTTTAGGTAAATGCTAGCAAAAAGCTGGTTCGCAATACAAGACCATCTTTGGAAAAGCGATGTGAATTTCGATAATAGAACACTATTGACTTTTTATTCCATTGAACTAGAGGTGTTACTTTATCTTTTTCTTATAAAATAAATATAAATACGACCATCGTATTCATAAAATAAACACAAATGAACTCTTTGTTTTTGAAAAATAAATATAAATAGATAAGTAAATCTTTATTGTTAAAGGATAAAGTTAAATAAAATCGTTATATCTATAAAATAAAGATAGATGAATTGCTTACTTTCAAGACTAAAGATAAAATAAAGAATAAAGGTTTATTTTTATAATAGGTAAATAGACAAATACCTAATATAATAGCAGAATATGTTAATGAATATTTTTTTTTATCATCAGCATCGCTTCGGCATGTGATATAATTAAGAATCAAGCTGACACATGAAAAAATATATACAACAGATTTTGGTGTATATCTCATCTCCATCTATGATATCATAACTTCTTATGAACTGCTTAGTAAAAGCTAAAGCTTATGTTCTCATAGAAGAAAAAGCTTCTTTATTATTTATTCTATCTTTATTTTATAAATATGAAGATTTTATCTATCTTAATTTTTGACTAATAAGGATTTTTCTTTACTTACATTTATTTTTCAAATATAAATAATTTCTTTATTTTTATTTTATAAAGATAAAGAGTTTATTTATATTTATCTTTTATTATAAAGAAAGGTAAACATAAAGTAACATCGTTAAGTGAAACAAAAGAGTAGAGAAGATTAATTTGTCAGTATTTTGATTTACACCAGTTAGCCCTAATCACTATCGCACTTCGAAATATGGCGTGTATCAAAATTTGATCTAGTGTTACACTTATCAGTATAGAAGGATGAGGAATTCATAAAGAAAGTGGAGTTTTCAAGTTAAAAATCCAGAAAAATGCGTTTCACACGTATCCTGATTAAAAAAGATTAAAGTTGAATAATCTTATTAATATAGAAACACTTTAATCAAGTTTCAAATATGAAAAAGTTCATTGAAATTAGATTTGTTTTGAAATTTTAACACGGGTATTCTTCTCTAGTATACGATTTTTTTTCATTGTCAACTTTTTATTTTGACACTATTTTGAACCTACATGAATAAAATTTTAATATAAAACTTGAAAGCAACCACATAATTTTTATCAATTTTTGAGGTCTTGAAATAAGGAAACCCAATTTAGTAGCTCTGCCCTGCCCTGTCCTGCGGGCAGGGTAGGGCGAAAAAAATTTCATGACTCATTTTCAGGGCAGGGCAGGGCGTGAAAAAAGCGCTCTGTGACGGACTTTGTTTCTCATATCATTTCCTTGGAAAATATTTCATTTAATCTCTCCATCGTTTTGCTTTAGTTTTTCTCTCTTCGCCTGTTGTCATTTTCTTTATTCATGTTTCCATATTCGTCTACTTTCGCTTACGTCATGAGAACGTGAAATTGAATATTCTAGACATCTGCTTTTCCATCATCTTGCTTGATGTATCTTATTATGTAGTTAAAAAAAAGACATGACAGTATTCAACATCTTGTTCTTTCTTCTCTGTCAGATGCAAATATTTCTCATTGTCGAATCATAAATTATTATTATTCGTGAAGCTCCATACATTCATAAATATAGTTAAGAATGTACCATATTATATCTAAATAACGGAGTTGACGTCTCAGTATCGTCAATATTTCAATTTTGAGACTAAGATTGCATATACATTATTCCATAAGATAATATGATGTGAAATGAACCTATTGATATAGTGAAAGAGATTCTATTAAAGTAGTTGGATAATATCATTTATGTGAATATCTTCATGAGTTGATATAATAATAAGGAAAATTTCTTTTTATTATAGAGAAAAACATATTTGTTTCAAAAAAAAGAAAAAGTATCAAGCTTAAACGAAATAAATTTTTAGATTTTATTTAAAAAAACTTATAATTCTAGTTTGAGAGTTTTATGAATAACGCTAAATAATATCACAAAGAAAAGACACCACATAAACAAAAATTCTAGATATTCATTTACAAATGTCTATCAATACTTAGAATTTTTTATTTATTTTCTGCTATTTTTCTTTTGATAATGTTGAATGTTATTTGTAGAAATATCGAGTTAGAATAATAAGCTATTTTCATAAAATCTTGAAAATGTATTTCATTGCATTTATTAGTAAAAAATTTCATTGGATGAACAAACATATATATATATATAGATTACAAAACAGAGTAAATATTTATCAAAAACTAAACTTTCATATATATTAATTTTTTCAGCCGTATGTCTACAATATTTATCAATGCAATATTGCACACGTCATTATCCATTATATTTTTGTATTGTACTAACGTTATTTTTATCGACCAATTTATATTTTACATTCCTTTTCACAAAAAATGAACATAAAAATTTTCATTTTTCCATAAATGATACAACGAATATTGCTGATCGAATTGTTTTATTTGTTCGTACATCACAAAATTGTCAATCACGTTTAAATTATCTTCTTCAAAGTTGGATATCAACGGATGTATTAGAACAATCAAATTTATATTTAATTACAGATCGTATAACAAATAAAACAAATTTAACATTATTAAATTCTTTTCATCATGTTATTCAAACACATTGTCCAGAAACACATAGTCGTATGGATTTATGTTGTAAAACAGCACATGAATTTAAATTATTTTATAGACTAAGTAAAATAAAATCAAATTTAGAATGGTTGTGTCGTTTTGATGATGATCATTATGTTAATCTTAATAATTTATATAAATATTTATCTCAAATAAATGCTTCAAAACCATATTATATTGGTCGAACAAGTATTAATGATCGTTTAAAAATTAGTAGTAGTAATCGAACATTTACATTTGCTACTTATGGTGCTGGTGTATGTTTTTCTCATGCATTACTACAACAACTTCATCCTCATGTTCATATTAAAATTTTACCACGTAGTTGTATGAAACGTGGACTATCTGATGATGCATATATAGGTTATTTAATTGAATTTATTCTCAATGTATCATTAACAGTAAACAATGATCTATTTCATTCTCATTTAGAAAAACTTGATAAATCATTTCGAAATTTTAGTTTAGATGATTTATTTCATGCAATTACATTTGGTTTTGCATGGGATCGATATAAATTAGATTGGTTACCAATAATTCATCAATTAATCAATTTAATTAATCAAGGTCAATATGAAACAGCAAATCGTTTATGGTTATTTTTAAGAAATTATGAAAAAGAACATCCTGAAAATTTAAAAGATAAATATGATGAATCATGTACATCATATCAACGATTACGAAATCAATCAATTGAATTGCAAACGAACAAAAATAAAAAAATTATTCAACATTTTAAAAAACATATTAGAAAACGTTAAAATGATTTTTATATTGATGACAGTTTATTTATTATTTAGAACGATTTATTATAAATATACTTATTTGTTATGCTTTATTACTTTGTTTGAATAAAAGAAAAAAAAAAGGAGGGGGATTGGTGATAATAGTCAGAAAATTATGATGACACATTTTTTTTTCATGTAAAAGTGAAAAGTATTGCACAAATATCAAGTTTCTATTTTTGTAAAAGTTGCCGATCGAAATCGATCTCTTAGGCAATAATTGCTTTTAGAGTGAAAAGTTCATTTTTATAGTACGGAATTTAATAAGAAATAACATCTAACGATCGGAGATTCATATTTTATTGAATAAGATGATGATTTTTCTTCTTATAAATTTCTTTGTTTCTAATTATTATCAAATATGTATTTGCCTTTCTTATTTTTCTTTTTTTGAATGATAAACGAAAGATTTCATATGTAGAATCAATGAATTATATTTTGTGCCAAGCTTATCAATCAACGATCATTGGATATAGCCAATTTTGTTGATAGTTTCTGATCTTTATGTCAAGTAGGTTTCCAGACTTGTAAAGAATATTGTAGATGAAGATTTTTTTTTGCTTTATTAAATGATCAAAATAACATTTTTCTTTAATAAGATAATTGAAAATAGGCGTAATGTAATTTTGCAAATGAATAAACTTTTTATTATCACTCACTACTACTGACAATTTCATTAGTTTTAATATTTATTGTATTCAACATCGTAAAAAAAAAATACTTCATTTTCTAGAGAGTTTTTCTTTTTTTCGTCATTCATTGACTTTCCATACTATTACAAGAATATGTGACACATATGTTCTCTATTACGCATTTTTCATAAACGGTAAAAAAAGTCAGGAAACAATTTATCTATATTATATTCATTTCACCTTATTCATTGTATCTATTGTATTATATTTCTGAGAATACTTTTGTTCTCTTTGAATTAAAGTATACACCTATTACATTGTAGTGGATTAATAAACAAAGAATAGTTGATCTTCTTAGCATGATACTCTAGCAAAAAGAATAATTGTATGAGCAATAGGTATATAGCATCTTCTTTTTCAATTACATTTATAAGTTAGTTTGCTTATCAATTTTCAAGTTGATATTTTCTATATTATATAAATGAATACAAATTAGTTATATTGTATATTGATATTTTTCTTGTTTAATGCATTTATATTTATTGGACACAAAGCCATCATTTGATCTTTATCACATTCGATCGAAAGAGGATGTACATTAATCTTTATTTCTAATATTAATCATAGATCTTGAAAAAAAGCAAAAATACAAGAGATGTTGACGGTGATTAAAATACTATTGATATCGATTTGTGATATATTACAAAAAAAAAAAAACAGACAAATATCGAAAAACCAAATCGATAAACTTTCTAGACTCAATATATTATAATTGAAGGTTTTCTTTTCCTACTTATTTTTAATAGAAAAATATGTAAAAAAAAAAACAATATCGATGTACTCTTCTTAATTATGTGCATGCGTACAACCTTTTGCTAATCGTGACGTATTCACAATTATATGCCTTAGGGATTGTCAGCACTTCCGAAAAACATATATATGTGTATCATTAAAAAAAAGATTTTTATCGAGTCAACACATATCTATCACTTCGATAGACTGACTCATGAGGATCTGTCCTTAATTAAGTATGCATGCCATCATCGTTAAATTTCTATCTTAATTAACTATTTCTAAAAGACTTCAACGTCAATTCCTCATTATAGATAGTCAACAATGAGGAAAAAATAAAAACATCTACCATGTTTTAAAGTCATACATCCTAATCTTTCTCAATTTTTGTTTGGATATGAAAACAGATGAGAAATCAATTTGACACGTGTCGCAGTTATATGTTTTCATAAACACATCTTGTTTTTATTCCAGAGACGATATCATTATCTCTCAACATTATTGCTGTCATAGTTACTTTTAGATTTTGAAAAGAGCAAATGCACTTCTGGCATGTGCTCACGATATACAACAAGCATGTATTGCATATCAAAATCCATCTCTTCATCGTTTATCTTGTTTTATTAGATTTTACTATCTTGTCAATCCTAGAAAATGTTTATATTGCTCATTTTTTCGGTATCTTTTTTTTATGGCAGACAAGAGAACCTTGAATACTGTAAAACAATATACACACACACACACATACATTTGAGATGTTCAATTTGCCAGCAGGCGATGTTTAAGTGCTAGTTTAGCACGATTTATTCTCATGGGATTTTTTCTCACTATTGCTGCAACAGTTGTTAATAATTGTTTTATCGCATCCTTTTTCTTTTGATTTTCTAATCAAACTTGTAAAATAGTTTACAATGACATTGAGCTAAACTTCTTTTTTTTTTTTTGTTTTTTATTTCTCAATGCGTATAGCACTGATTTGTGTTAGATGTTATCAATTTTATAAGATTAGAGTCTAACGGTGTGTGAAAGAAAGAAACAAAGAATTAGAAAAAGCTACAAAAAAATGTCGTTTCCGAGAATGTGACAGGTGAGATTGACAACCAGGCCATGTTTCTTTCTTTTTTGGACTATCACTTGAACAATTGTAAGCGATGAAGAACGACATGTCTACTCCTGACATCACTCATTGATGCACATACATCTTGAATATCACCCGACGACAATCACTTGAATGAGGAAGTGAAATAAAGAAAGATGAGAGGGATTGATTTTTCTCTTTTTTTGCGTTGTTTCAGCATAGTTCTATGCGGTGCAAAAGAAAGATATGAAGCGGAATTATGTGATTCTTGAAATGAAATTACAAGTTGGTTAAGAGCTTCTTCTTCTTCTTCTTCTTCTTCTTCGTTTCCATCGTCGACGAATCGGCGAGAAAGGATACATGCTCGCTCGGTCTTATGAACAACAGCGTGAATGAGCAAATCGTGTGACATTCGCTCATCTATCTTTATCAATACTCTAGAGTAAGAGAAAAAGAAAGATAAAAAGAGTGAGTGCGTTGATTTTACAGAATAGATATACAGAGTGCCATAAAAAACCCGGTCGAAGGTTTCTTCAATAGTCATAAGGAAAATGGATCATGAATACATGTGTATATGTGTGCATGGTCGTTAGTAAGTGAAAAACATGGAAAGGAAGATGGATGCGTGACAAGGCAATACAGTGTAAGGATCAAGTCAAAAGAAAATCTTCTATGCTTAAAGCACACAGCTTCTATTTTTCTGGTGCTTTTTTAATGAGAAGAATATAGAATACTAGCAAACAAGGGATAATTGTAATCGACCAAATAGCAACAGATTAATGTGAAAATTCAAGTGCTGCATAATCAGATGATAACATCTTGCTGTCATTTGATTGCATCGCATTGTCGGCCTTCAATCTTATGATATTGATCACTGTCGGTTTCTGTCACTATTCTGTGAATTCAGAACATCTACTCATTCGTATACATAGAGAGAGAAAAAAAGCAGATTTATGTTCTCGAGCAATAGTTGAGAGCGGTGACGGTAGCAATAGCGATGACGGATCTAATTCGATTTAGAAAATGCGCCGACGCATGTGTGTGTGTATGTTCTCGTTTGCTCTCGCCTCTAATCCGTTGTGCTGAGAGGGTGAATCTCATCTTTTCGCTTAGAAAACAACGACGATTTCTAATCTTTTTCTCGAACGATGACGAGCGAACGAGAAAGACAAGTAGCTCAACGAGTAAAAGGAAGAGAGCTGTTGTAATTGTTTAAGTTCATCTACTGAATTAGATTTTTGGTAAAAAAAGAAGAAGAAGAGGAACAGAATGGTTACAAATACATACTAAAGGGAAGAGAGAAAAACACGCACATCACTTCTTAGCAGCCGGATGAGAGAAGAGGTCGACTCTCCATTCTCGTTCGTTGTTGTTGGTCTCTACTCGAGCTTTAGCACATGCGCTCGATAACAATAACTCTGTAGCAATGATCAAGTGAGCGTTCTCATCATCATCATCATCATCATTCTGTTTTTCATCATCTTATAAACGATTAAATCACACAATCATCATCAGCTTAGCAAACATACATTCCAACACAGTTTCTACAATGTGAGTTAAAGTTAGCTAGAAAGATACCTCTTGCTTTTCTAATTTGAAGATTGATGCATTCTGTCTTTTTCATTGGATAGATCAATCTATTATAGATTCCCTGGAGACATGATCTCCAATAGTGATTCTTAAAATCTCTAAGCGTGATGTCACATGGCTATCGCGCACGTCTTATTTGTTTCTGATCCGTTTGTTTGATTATAAATTTGGCATCAGAACGAAGAATATCAATGATACAGGCCGGCCACATTTCTCTATAATGATTTTGTCTGCCCAAAATAGAAAAGGCGGGACAAGAAAAAAAAAGATATAAATGCGACATTCGCCGGAAAATCAATTACTAACTCTAGCAGACTGCACATAGCGTTGGCTGAAAATGGAGAATGGTTATCATGTCATTTTTTTAGTGGTGTTATTGTTGCTGTTTTCATCAATTTGAACAAGAATCGAGATTAGATACTTCAGGAAAGAAAAAGAATAGATTGAACAACAAAAAACAATGAACTTAAGACATAAAAAAGAACTTTAAAAGACTTCGAGAACAAACAACAGGAAATCATTACATATCGTATGATTAAACGGAAAGAGAAGCACATTCAATAATGTACATTTGTCTTTTATGACTTAAAAATGAATCGATAAAAGAAAGTTTTGATATTGATCAAAGAAAAAACATTTTAAATTTGGTAACAAGGTTTATTATCGTTCAGTTCAGAAGAAAGAGAAGAATCTTTAATCGAAAGGCTAACTAATATTGTTTTACTCTTTTTTTCTCTTTCCCACTCTTCTTCTCTCCTCCTCTCTTTCTTTGAATATATAGATAGATATATATATATATCGACTCTTTTTCTCGTCGTCGCGCTCGTTTGACTTTGTCGACAAATTGATTGCGATCGTTGTTAAGACTTCTTCTCTCCATTTCGTTCTTTCTCTCTCTCTCTACCCCCCCCCCCCTCTCTCTCCCTGGTTCTCACTTGCTACTACTAGCTGTTGTCAGTTGCTCCGTTCAGTCCCGCGTTATACCACACACTTTGGACAAAATTAAGTTTCGGAGTTACCCCCTCCAACTAGACCACTTAGTTTTTCCGTAGTCTATAAGCGCGACAACTAATGCTGACTGACACATACATTACTCGTCTACAATGAAGATTCTTGGCGGCTATGCTATACTACGTGCTTTTCTTATTTTTCTATTCCAAAGTCGATATATTAGTCTATATCTCTTTTTTTTCCTTCTTTTTCTCTGTCCTTATGAAGTATTCAATAAGGCATCGAAAAGTAAGACATTGACCATAAGAAATGATTAGGAGTTAAAGTATTCATAAGTACAGAAGGTAAATGAACCAAAAAAACAAGTGATTTAGACGTTAATCATTATGATTTCTGATTAATACGAGCTAGAATAAACATTATTAAAATATCGATAAATACTTGTAAGCATGAATGTTTACATATGTGCACGTATATCAACAAAATTTCTAGCAATCAGGTATTATCCTTTTCTATTCTTTTTTTTTTTTCTTCTTTCTTTTCTTTATTAATTCGATCTTAGTTATGACGTACACGCTTTTGACAGATCATCAGAGATCTAAGAAGACAGAAAGCATCACAATTAATTTTCCACTATTTTACGCTTTTTTTCTTTCACTTGTGACATTCCAATGAAATGTGAATGTGCAACAAGTCTCATCGTCGAAGCTTCTCTTAAATATTGCTACGACTACTTTTCATAGTAGATCTGAGAATGAAAAAAAAAATGACAAAGCAACAAGCTGTTGTAGTAAAAGGAATGCATACGCATACAAGACGTCTTAACTACATAGACGGTGTAACGGTGCGCGAACAAATTAGCTTCGAGAAGGAAAATGGTAGAGAGAGAGAGGGGGAGAGAGAGAGAGGGGAGAGGGAGAGAGAAAGAGAAAATGCACAAAAGAGTAAGAAAAAATGTAATTTCTCTATTCAATATAGAAATATATCTATATATATAACATAAATATATATTTCTCCTCCTTTTTTTTACTCTTACTCCATAGAAAGATGACATGAGACAGTTACTTTCGAATGCGCAGTGTAAATATATATGGAAAGTGTTAAGAATTTATTTGTATATTGATAAACAATTTGGTTATATTTTAAGAATATTTTTTATCGGTTTAGAATCATACGAGGATTTGATAGTGTGCAAATAAAATCAACAGAAGAAAAAGAAAAAAAAAGAACATAAATCTGATTGAATAGCACACATATGCATTACTACTCATTTGTAATTAGCTTTAGTCAAAGGATTAGTGTCGAACATCAAGATTTTCTTCTTCTCTCTCTCTTTCTGTTTGTCTTCTTTTTCTCTTGTTTTTCTTTCTATTCAAAAAAAAACTCATTATTTGATTTTTTTTCTAAATAATCAGGAATATGAATTTACGTTTTCTAAAAAAAAAAACAGAACAGAAAAATAAGTATAACAATCTCTTTTGTTTTGTATTTTACTTAATATTGATTTATTTTCATTGTCATCAGTTTATATTATTTGGACCTAGAGCAAAATCATCAGTGGCGTGAGTAAAAGACATTGTAATTAATAAATTCATTAGATTGAATATTTGATATTAGAAAACTAGAAAAGAAACTAGTAATATATCCGGAAATTGTATAGAACTATGTAAAAAAGAAAATATTAGAAATGTCTTCATTAGAAAATATTATATTCTTCAAGATAACTTGACCTGCTTCATCTGTCTGAAGTATTTTTCTGATAGAAAGATTAAAAGCCACAGTAGGAGTTTCTTATTTTTTTTTCTTCTTCTTTCTTTTTGCCTAGCCTTCTAGTAATAAGGTTATACATGTCCATTTTAGTTGTATTTTCCATTATCTTTTGTTTTATTATTATTCTAGTCGGCGACGAAATGTTGCCATTGTCACCAACTTACAAAAGACAACAAGGTGACTTCGAATGGCCATGATTTTCATATTTGTATTATTTTTATTATCATCAAAATTTGCATGTCGTCCTTTGTCGATCTAACCAATACTATAAACAGTGATCAAAGCGCCGCACTTGTGCATGCGCTATTGACAAACACTAGTCGAACAAATTTTATTCGACCAATATCATCATCATCATATAATACAAACTGGAGTATATCACATATACCTGGTCCACCATCATCATTTCTAACACCTTTTTTCTCATTGTCCTCATCAGCATCATCAACAGCAACAACAGTAATTGCTGCCACAGAAAATAGATATTATCCATTTTGGTTATTAGTCATTGTCGCTATATTTGGTAGTGTAACATCCGTATTAACTGTTTTGGGAAATATTCTTGTTATGCTTGCTTTCTTTCTTGATCGACAAATTCGACAACCGACTAATTATTTTATACTTTCATTATCTGTTAGTGACTTTCTTATTGGACTTTTATCTATGCCTATATTGACAATATACATCTATGCTAAAGAATGGCCATTGAATGCTATTATATGTGACATATGGCTTTCGCTTGATTATACTGTTTGTCTTACATCAATTTATACGGTGCTGTTCATTACAATCGATCGTTTTTGTTCGGTTAAAATGCCAGCAAAATATCGGAAATGGCGTACACGTAGAAAAATTAATATTATGATTGCTGCGACATGGGCAGGTAAGAGAAAAAAAAACATAAAGTTAATATACATCCATATTGTTGTTGTCGTTGTTTTCATTTTGTTGGATTTCTAAATTAATCAATATGATTTTTCTTTTTTGTTAGTTCCTACTCTTATCTTTTTTACATCTACCATGGTTTATCCTCGTGTGAGAAGTATTTCAAATATGCAAAATGGTGTTTGTATGTATTGCAATTTTCTTTCAAAAATTTTTTTTTCTTGTTCTACTTTTTATTTAATTAATTTTCTTTTCAAGGTGATGTACAATGGAATAAAAATCATGTTTTTAATTTATGTTTAACAATTGGATATTTTTGGACAACATTATTTGTCATGATAATTCTATATATATTTATATATGGTATTAAAGAATTAACTTAATTTATTTTTACTTATTGTTAATTAAATTATTCTTTTGTTCAAAGGTGTTGCAAGTAATCTAGAACGAAAATCAAGAGAAAATGCACGTAAAATGTCATCACTCGTCGGTATGGCTGGTAAGAAACTTAGCAAAAGGATAAATTTCTCAATGGGTTTTTTTTCTTCTTTATTTAGGTAATGCAATGACACAAATCGGTGTTGGCATTGGAGTAAATAAATCTCCTACAAAAACAGCCATTGATAGACGAAATTATACAAGTCGTAAAATTGATTCAAAAACCATGAATGATTATGATGATGAAGATCCACAAAATTTACTTGCACATAGTGTAATTAATACTCAAAATAGTAGTAATTCATCTGATCAACGACGTATTGGTGGTGTTGATGATGATAATTCAAATTCGTTTGAATCACATTCGGATTTTGATTTAACAAATATAAATGAAAAAAAATCACATACATCAAATAATACAAATGATAAAACTTCACGACAAAAAAATCGTCGTGGTATGAGTGTTAATTGGGGAAATAGTCCAACAACAGCTATAAATACATCATCAACAAGAACAAATATTAATCAACGTTCACGTCAAAATCGTGGACATTCAAATCAAAAACATAGTTCAAATGTAAAATTCTTTGCAACATCTATGGCACATTCACTTTATAGAAATCCAATACGTTTAAGTGGTTTATCATCAACATCAAAAACAAAAGGAAATAATTCAATGACAAATAAAAATTTACTACAAACAACTTCAAATCAACAACAAATACCTACGACATTAACAACAATACCATCGGAACCTGAACTTTTATCTTGTCGAGTTTATCCACCACCACAACCACGACCAGAATCATTAGCAATTATGTCTGAAGAATTATTTCATCAAAGACTTAAAGCTCGTCAATCACCATTATTAAATGAATCATCTATAAAATCATCATTAAATGAATCATCTATAAAATCATCATTAAATGTTAATAATCAATTATCAATTAATTTTTCATCAACATCATCATTTCTTTTGGATAAACATTGTATTGAAGATGTTACTTATTCAACAACAAATCAAATTTTACCAACAAATTCTGATCAAACAGTAACAAATCAAATAACACCACCACCATCACCAGAAGAACAACAAAAAAAATTAAATGAAACTAAAGATAATCCTATTGATTTATCAGTAGACGAACAACAACAACAACAACAACAACAACAGCAAATATCATCATCGATTAAAGCAATTATTAATAGTAATGCAGATTCATCTGATGAAAGTTGGCGTTTATTGAATAGCAATAGTAGTCTTGATGAACATATACCTTATATTGATGAAACTGATTTTGAAGATTTAGGTAAAGAATTTCTTTTTTCTTTTTTTTTTATATTTAGAGAAAAATTATTTTCTTAATAACAAAAGACTTTTACATAATTTGAAACGTTTCTTTTTTTATTTTTAATAAAATAGAGTATTGATAAAAATAACCTAGAATTGAGTTGAATAAGAATAATTATATATATATAAAATTTTCTTTTTTCTCTCTCTATATTCTGATTAACTATGGTAAATCATAAATCCTGCAAGAAAATCTTTTCATCCTTTTTCTTGCTTCTTTTACTATCGACAACAAAAAAAAAAAAAAATTTCAATATACGTATATAATTGTATTTAATTCCTTTATTTAGGTTATATATTACATCGTCGTCGTGTTCCACCAATCGACTCCAATGAACCTATTCATGAAGAAACTATTGTGTATAAATCACCTTTTTATATTAAAAATAAACATCGTTCAAAATCATCTATTATTTCACTTAATAATACAATAAATGATAGTGGTGTAAATAGAAAAATTTATGAAATCTATGGTAATCATCAAGATGCACATAAAGCTATATTAGAATCTCCAATGTTTGATAATGTTGAATTAATAACATATGCATGTACAAAATCAAATCCATCACCAATACGTCATTGTAGTTTACGTAATGTTCCACGTGAAGCTCTACTTAAAACAGTATCACAACCAACATCAATGCCACCATATATTAATAATTCTAATGATAAACATACAACATCATCAATTATATTTGTATCAAAAGCTAAAATATCAACATCATCACCAAGATCATCATTAAAACAAGCCCAGCAAATAGCATCATCAACAACAACAACGACATCATCAATACAAAATGCTGATGTTGAACGAGCATTAATTGATTTTTATCAATGTAGTCAAATAAATGATACAGATGATTGTTTAACAACAAATAATGATAATAGTGAAAGTGAAGATCTTGAATATTCATTATCAAATTATAATGAAATATGTGAAGAAACATCATCATTACTTCGTCTTAATGAACAACATTCATCAGCATTTATTGATGATGAATCTGGTACAGATGATTATTCAAATAAAATAAAACAAATTCAATCAAAACATCATACATATACACAAAATAATAATCATTTTATGAAAATGATGATGTTAAATAAAACTCAAGGAAATTTAACTATTGATACAACAAGTGATGATCGAACAACAACAAATAGTTTTAGTTTAAATACATATAGTCAAGATTATTCTGTTGATAAAATATTTCATTCAGATTCATCCACATCATATAAACAACAATATAATTTATCATCAACAAATCAACCAATATCTCAACATAGTTGGCATGATTCATCATCAACAACAACAACATCATCATCATCATGTCAAGATAAACAGATACCATTATTATTACTACGTACATCATCACCACAACATTTTTTAACAGCTGTAGAAAAAAAACGAAATACATCATCCGATTCTGATGCTATTACAACAACAACAACATTAACAAATAGTACACAATATGGAGGGTATATATAAATTAATAATTAATTAAAAGCAAAAAAAAAAAGAAAAAGTTTTTTTTTTTTTCTAGACGTGATATTGATAAGACTAAACAAAAAATTAGTGATTCTATATCTCAAGATGTATTACGTGCATTTAATAAATTAAATGCAACAACAATAACAGATGAACCAGAAATTGAAAAAATTGAAACAAATGAAATAAATTCAATAGTTCATAAAACAATAGATATTGATACAAAATATCATTCATTATCAGATACATTAACACGTGATAATGATACATCAGGTTATGGTTCACATGATGATCCATCATCAATTAATAATCGTATACCATCAAAAGTAACATTTGATAGTTTAATGACACAAAATTCAGCTCCATCATCACCAAAAACAAAAGATCAATCTATAATGACACATATTGATTTGAAAGAACGTTTAAATCAAACACTTAACAATACTAATTATAATAATAAAAATAATCATGAACAAATACAAGATAGTAATGAAAATAAAAATGGACGTTTAGTTCTCATAAGTGAAGGAACAATTACAAGTGGATCAACATCGGCAAAATCAAGTGTTAGAGAACTTGTACAAAATCAAAAAGCAGCTAATCATAGAAAATCTAAATCACAAAATCGAGCTCGAAAAGCTTTAAGAACTATTACTTTTATTCTTGGTATGTTTAATAGTTATTATTAGCCATATGGCATACTATTTTCCAATAGACTAAGTATTTATTAGAAACTGTTGCATTAGGCTAAAAGGTTTCTTTGTTAGTAAATTTATCGTCCTATGAAAAAATTGATAATAGAAGTCATTCGAATTGAATCTTCTCTCATGAAACTCTCAGAAATAGATTCAATTACAAATATTCTTTCGATTCGATATTTTTTTTCCTTTTAGGCGCTTTTGTCGTTTGTTGGACTCCATGGTATGTTAATCTTCAATGTTTCTTGTTATTTTTCTTTCAATATCATTATTTTTAATCTTTAGGCATATATATTCTGCGATACATTCATTATGCGAATCATGTAAACAGAATTGGATATTTTCCAATCCAATGTTTCATTGTTTTTATTTTCTTTGCTATCTTAATTCACCGATCAATCCCTTTTGCTATGCATTGGCTAATCAACAATTTAAAAAGACATTTACTAGAATTTTAAAATTGGATTTACGTCGTTTATAACAATAATAATAATGTTTTCTTTTTTCTCTCTATTATTTTTAGCTATATTAACCTTTGTTTTCTTACATGTTAAAATTTTGTTTCTGTAAACTATGCCTAACTTCTTTTTTTTTTTTGTTCTTGTTCGTGTGAACCTCTTTGCACAGCGATGTTAACATAAATTTCTTTTTTTTTTGATCGCTCAGTAATAGCGAAATACAGAATGAAATAATGATGAATCGATCAGAAAAAAGTACATGAGTTTATGCGTCAGTAATTGTTCTGAACTTGACGAGTTTCATCTCAAAAAAATGTGACAGGCAGAAACAAGAAGAATTATTTGTCATAGAGATCATCCAAAAAAGATGTTCAAATAAAACATTGATCTTACAAAGAGTTTTGAAGTATAGGGTAGAAATTTAGATCTTCTTCTTCTTCCCTCCGGTAACCGTTGCTTTATGTATGTGATTTATTCATAGATGACACACTTTGGAATTTGAAGAAGCTGTAGCGTTAGGTGAGTCCAAGTCATGACTGTGACTCGACCCGACTATTTGATCTGAGGTATTAATATAAAAAAAGCCCAGTCCTGAGTAGTTGAAAATTTCATGAAAAATCCTTAAATAATAACAAAAAAGTCGTAATAAGTGTCGTGAGAATCTAGATGCGTCTGAACCCTATTTTCTACTGATCTGGACTTCTTTCTCTTTCCTGAGTGTCTTTTATGGATGTTCCTATGTGAAAATTTAATGAGAAGAAAATCTGCATTCATCCGTTGTCGACAGTATTGTTTTGGTCATTCAACTGTTTTTTAATCGAATAATTTTTTTTCAAAAGATTATTTTACTTGATGCATTTTTAACTAGACAACCTGTTCTTCTTTTTTTTTTTTTTTTAGAAGATATTATTTATTTGACAAGCATAATCTTCTAATAAGAATTGTTAAGACTAAAAGAATATTAAAAATTTAATTTATAATTTGTTTTTCAAATTGAATTAAGTTATACAAATAAGAAAAATGTTTCTTCATGTCTGAAATTGAAAGATAACGATGATCTTGAAATCGATAAGCTTATTTTTCTATCATATCATCATATATATTCATGATGTCATTAATTATTGGTTTTTGTTTCGTCAAAGTTTTATTATATCTAATGAATGTAAATAAATTAAATTCTGAATATAATCGATGACAATGAAAATCAGAAGTATTATTTCATGAAATCTTATGATTGATGAATATATTTATTATATGTTCATGTTAGAATATATAATGAATATAACACGAAACCATCTGAAAATATTATGAAATGTTTTTTTTTGTATAACAAATTCTTGTTTTTTTTTTTATTATGAATGGAAAAAAGAAATAAAATGTAATTGTTTAGATTGTTTCGTTTAATTATGATAATAGAATCAATAGAAAATGACAGTTTTGTTTTAAAGCTTTGTAAGAAGATTTAATAAAAATGTATTATTAGATTAGATCGGATTTTGTTTTCTTGATCGAGTATATACATTAGCAAAAAAACAAGTCGAACTAGACCGTACATGAGCTTGAAACTTGTGAAAGTATTGAACTTTTAATAATCGAGATGTCATTTTTGTGTTTGAGCTATAGTTGTTCTAATAATGAATCTTAAGATGAATTTTAAAAAGTTTCTATGCAACATATATCATTTACAGCATGAAAAAAAAGTGTTAACAATCATAGACAAAAATAGTGCATTGAAAGCTACTGTATTAAGAGAATAAAAGTCGAATTTCGTTTTGTCTTTCATTAAAAAGATTATAACTTATTTTAATTAATAGAAGTCTCAATTTTTGAAGGTCATAATAACCAAAAAAATTGAACAAGTTAATATTTAGAGTATCCTTTGTTTATCACATGTATTAGTTGAATCATTAAATATTAATAAACGAAATTCATCATGAAAACCATATAAATTACTTCAGTCGATTGAAAGTCATATTATTATATAAAGATGCTTGCAAAAAAAAAACGATCATGTGCATATTTTTCTAACGATATTATTTTATATATGTATGTTCCCTTTAAATCGTTTTATATGATAGTCGATAAACTATGAAAAATGTTATAAAGTACCAGAACTTGATAATTCATTCATTAACATTTCTGAAGAAATAAATATTTGTTTCTCGTGGATATCTTAGCATGATTTATAATACAAATCAACATTTTCAACTGAAAATCACTAGAGTTCATTACTCTTTTGTTTGATGCTGTCTTTTCTCTAGATAATGTTTTGTAGCCTACTGAATATTCTTCTTATGAAATTAACACTCAAGATATCAGTTGACTACTTCATTATTCGTGATGAAGAATTGTTTAATAGTACGACTAACACGTTTTCATTCATTACTTCTTTAGAAGTGCCTTTTTTGTTTAGCTAAAATTTTTCTAAACTACGTTGTTCTTTTCATCATTGGCAAACCTATTTGCAAAATAAGAAGCGTTTTTTAAAAATATAATTATAATTAAGCCTATGAACATTTTATCGCAATATTTTACAAACAACTCAAATTTATATACAATATGGTTGCATTCATAAATGTTTTCAATTGCTTGTTTGATTTTGTTATTATGATCATAAATAGTCCTTATGGGCATATTTATTTTACGATGAAAACTCCACCTAAACCTTAAGGCTTTGTTTTAATAATATAAGATCAATAAATGACTAAGTTTTTGAATTAAGAAGAAAGTTATATAAATGTACAGACATATACATCAAAAACGAAAATAAAACCATCTTCCACGATGATCGTTGTCTCTAATAAAATTATTGAAGGTTCATTTTGTAAAAAATGATGTTTATAGTTGCCATAAGAAAACGATAATTTAAGTTTCAATAATAATTTTTAACTAAAAAAAAAACGAGAACAAACTAAAGTATAGCGATAAAAATACATATCTTACTTAAGGATATTAAAAAATAATAATCAATAACCTTTATGACACTTTTGTAAATTACTTCAACATATGTTTATCGATATATAAAGTTAATTATTTTATATTTCATTGAAAAATAGCAAATAGTTCAAATGAACTTTTTTTGTTTATTTACTAAATGTTATGTGCCTCGATAATTTTTAAGAACTAGATCAGTTGACAAAGTGCGCAAACAGTCAAACATAGTTTATCTAGGAATGTTAGACCAATTTGAAAGACAATTTTCAAGCAACAATTTAACATTTTCGGATATATAACAGCAAAAATAATGATGGATAGCTCTACTCTAATCAAGATTCTATTGTTACAATATGTAATGAAAAAGAAAGTGAATTTTATATGATATTTAAGAAGAAAATTAAATTAAAAATAATATTAAATCTAATAAAGGTTTTCATCATCTATATTTAGTATTCTTTATTTTAAAAATGAAACATAATCTTAATATCGATCATAAGCAAACATGTTGTCATAGGCTCATTATCGTTATATCTTAGAAATAACAATGTAAACGAAAATTAATCACAAAACAACTATTTTTTTTTTGTAATATAATTATGTTTACTAATAAAATAAACACTGGATTCATTCATTTGGAGATATGATTGTTTTCTATGTTGACGTGCTGATCACAATCAATTTAGTTTCATAAATAAAGGAAATTGATTTTTTGCTATATGAAAGAGAACGAACAACATGAAAGTGTTTTAGATAAATATTTTTATGATCAATACACAATGGAAAACTTGAACAATTATAGAAATTAATCGAAAAAAAGAATAATTTCTTCGATTAGAAATTTGTTTTTCTTATTTAATGATTCATCAGATATTTCTACAAGAGATAGTATTTTCAAACTAAATGAAACGTATATAACTTGAGATTTAATTATTCTATAAATTCCACAATAGAAAAAAAAATGTTTTTTTTTTTTTATTTAAGATAAATGTATTAAATATTTCGACTGTTTTCTAATGTTTAGTATCGGTCACTATCAACATGTTATTAAACAATAATAAACCTATCATCTAAATACACTAAAACCATAGTAATAATATTAATAACCTAAACCAATCGACCATTGTTTAAATATATTTTTTTTTGGAAATGAACACTCTCGTCTAAGTTACTGCTATATTAAATCAAAATAAATGAAACATACATAATTTGAAATTTGATAATTAAATAAAACAATTTTCTTTCTACTGTAATATTCATATTATTATCATTTTTGGATAATTTTTCTTTTTTTTTCATGCAAAATATGTCGACAATTTGACTATATGTTGTTTGAAGAAAAAATTTTCATTATTAATTTATTGGTAATAAAAAATAACATTCAACTATATACTGAATGTCCGAAAATGTTTGCAACATAGTTTAGTTTTTAAATCTGTTTCGTCGAATTCCAAAAACATTCTTTTGATTTAATCTGATAAAATTTTATAAAATTAATAGAAAACATATGTGAACGATTATTATTTCGTACATATATCTAAAGTAATAAAACTAGATTTCTGAAAGAACTAAAATGAATATTATGTAAGAGTCTGCAACTATACACGACATCAGTGAAGTAATTGCTTCATTAATGACAATTTTATTATGGAAATCAAATTTGTTGAACAAATATACTTACTGTTCAATACAAGAATATTATAAAGGTAATCCTTTTGATATTTAAAAATCACAAAAAAATAATGGAAAATGAATGAAAGATCATGTTCCTTTTAGATAAAGAAATTTATTGAATTCAGAATAGTGGTAGATGATGACATCTTGTACAGTTTTCTTTTTAGATCTTTCAAAATTTCACGACTTATATTTTCAAAAATAAAACAAAAATCATTATTGAAAATAATAATCTCACTCACATATCTTTTCGTTTAGTTTTACAAAAGTACATCAGAACAAGTCTCGAAAATGAGTGAAATTCGACGGCATGGATTTCACCATTTATCTATCCAGGAATATATGTAAAAAAAAACAAAATATTGAAAACATTTTCAAATATTCAATAAAATCGATTATCTTTTTTTTTGCCGAT